CAAGTTCTCCAGCGCCATGCAGGTGTTGGGGTGCTGCCCGGAGCTGTGCTACAACCTGGCGCTCTGCTCCTATTCGGCCAAGCAGTATCCCTCTGCCCTCAAGTACATCGCTGACATCATCAAGCACGGCATCCAGCAGCACCCGGAGCTCGGCGTGGGCCTGAGCACCGAGGGCATCGACGTGCGCAGCGTGGGGAACACGCTGCTGCTGCACCGCACGGCGCTGGTGGAGGCTTTCAACCTCAAGGCTGCCATCGAGTACCAGCTGCACAACCCCCGCGCGGCGCAGGAGGCGCTCACGGATATGCCGCCGAGAGCAGAGGAGGAGCTGGACCCGGTCACGCTGCACAACCAAGCGCTAATGAACATGGATGACCAGCCCACGGAAGGGTTTGGGAAGTTGCAGTTCCTCCTCCTGCAGAATCCCTGCCCACCTGAAACCTTTGGGAACTTGCTGCTTCTCTATTGCAAGCATCAGTACTATGACCTGGCAGCTGATGTGCTGGCAGAGAACGCCCACCTGACTTATAAACTGCTCACCCCTTACTTGTACAACTTCTTGGATGCTGTTATTACCTGCCAGACTGCCCCTGAGGAGGCTTTCCACAAGCTGGATGATTCAGCAGGGACCATGACTGAGCAGCTGCGAAAACTGACAAAGCAGGTGCAGGAAGCTAAGCAAAACTGGGATGAGGAAGCTCTAAAAAAGGCAGTTAATGAGTATGATGAGACTCTGGATAAATATGTCCCTGTCCTGATGGCCCAGGCAAAAATTTACTGGGACATGAAGAACTACACGATGGTAGAGAAGATCTTCCGCAAGTCAGTGGAGTTCTGTAAGGAACATGAGGTGTGGAAGCTCAACGTGGCCCATGTGCTCTTCATGCAAGAGAACAAGTATAAAGAGGCTATTAGCTTCTATGAGCCCATAGTTAAAAAGCACTATGACAACATCCTTGATGTCAGTGCCATTGTGTTAGCCAACCTCTGTGTTTCCTACATCCTGACAAGCCAGAACGAAGACGCAGAGGAACTCATGAGGAAGATCGAGAAGGCAGAAGAGCAGCTGTCCTATGAGAACCCTGACAAAAATACCTACCACCTCTGCATTGTCAATCTAGTCATTGGTACCCTCTACTGTGTGAAGGGCAATTATGACTTTGGTATTTCCAGGATCATTAAAAGCCTGGAGCCATATAACAAAAAACTGAGCACTGACACGTGGTACTATGCCAAGAGGTGTTTCCTGTCCTTGCTGGAGAACATGTCCAAGCACATGCTCATGCCACGTGACAGTGTGGTCCAGGAGTGTGTTCAGTTCCTGAAGCAATGTGAGCTCTTTGGAAGAAACATCCCAACTGTCATTGAGCACCCCCTGGAAGAGAGCAGGCTGCACAGTGGGAAGAACACAGTAACCTATGAAGCCAGGCTTTTGAGGGCACTGATGTACAAGATTACTGGTTGGGCTGAGTAAATGGTGCTCCTGTTTGGCAGGAATGAGAACTTTGTGTCTGTTCTGTTCTCACCCTCACAAAAATCTAAATGTTTTGTCCTTTATTTTAACAACATTCAGTGGGAAATAAAATGTTTTCATGAAATTAATCTGCTCCAGGTCACTAGGGGCATTCTCAGTAACCTGTCATGTTGGAGAAATATCATAGAGATTTCACCTATGAAACAGTACTTTATCCTTCTGAAATTCTGACCAAGTTTCTTTTCACTGGTTGACAGTTAAAAAAGGATTTGTTGTCCATCTCTTCTAGCACAGAAATTGAAGAAACAGTTGGTTTAATTCTCTAATTTGTGCCTGTGTGTGAAATGTTTCTTTCTTCTGCCTTTTTCCAGGGTGTTTTTAATATATTGCAGATCACATTGATAGTATATTAAACACAATAAATGACTTTATATTAAAAAATCAGTTCTACCAACATTGACATTGCCTTTTGCTCACTCAGTCATAATGCACAAGTGTTCTGGCAAATTCCATACCTAATACAGGGACCAGGAATATATTCCAAGAAGGCTCTGTTAGGATGGTACCTCAGTTTAGATCTACCCTTGCAGTAAAGTGTTATGACTGAATGTAAGTGGCTTCAGAGACACTGCTCAGTGCTGGCCATTGACTTCAGCAACCCTCAGAGTCCCTGTGCCCACACAATCTGGGTAGCAGCTGTTGCCCTGCAAACCTGCCTAGTAGCAAGTGCTTACTCAGGAATTCAGTCCTCTATGTGCAGCCTGGTCTGCCCTTCTAATCCAGACAGCATTCTGAGGATGTACAGTCTCTGGTAAGCGACCCCATGAATGTGAAAAGCAGCATCAAACTCCCATTTCATGCAAAGCTTACGACTTCTAACCTTAGCTGCAAGAAAATAGCTTGGAACAAGCCTAGCAGTGTTCAAAGCCAGGCTGGATGAGGCCTTGAGCAGCCTGGTCTGGTGGGGATGTGTCCCTGCCCATGGCAGGGATTTGGGACTAGATGATTTGTAAGGTCCATTCCAACCCCTAAAATTCTATGATTCTATGAAATCTGCTTCTCAGTTTCCTCCTTGTGTTACTGTGTTTCTGCGCCTCTCAACACCTCTCTGAAACCCCATATATAAAGTTTAGTTCCTTTCCTTGGTATTTCCATCACACTGCCCTCAGTCAGTGTATTTTCTCAACAGTCTTCCCATCCCATTTCAACTACATTAGGTGTTCCACAGTGAAGTGAGACCAAAATACCTCCCAGTGTTTTGATGCAGTCTGTTTCTGTGCCCCATGGCTGCTCTCCTTTTTGTGTATTCTGCCTCCTGAAGCGATGTGTGAACTGAGGTTTCTAAAATAAGGATCAAAGATTTGTGCCTTTAACTCATTTGCTTATCTTTGATACTGCCTCCCTAAAAAAACTGTCATGGGGGAATTTTGGAATCAGGCTGCATGTCCCTCAAAATCCAGTTCCTATGCTGTGGGTTACCTGGAAAGAAAGAGAACAGCATTTTGGAAGTTATTACAAAGGATTAGACTACTTAATCCTTCCAGAGAGTTAATGTCCACAGGAACTGGACAGGCCCACAACCAATTCAACGTAAAGAAAGTCAACTCTCCAGTGCTGGGAGAGAAACCTGTCAGGGCTGAGCATATTGTCTGCAGCTAAAGGAAATGGCTGTGGGTTAGGTAATACTACAGTTTGCCCAAAACTTCCTATAACAGTAAAGTCAAATTTAATATTGTCAAGAATGGGACAATGCTTGAGAGAGGCTAAAGAACAGGTAGGAGATGCAGCAAGGTGTCCTAGAGAGGCCTTCATCACTCACCACTAGGCCATTAAGCCCCTGATTATGCTGATATTAAGTATTTTCCACAACTGCTTCCCCATGAGGAGGAGACCTGTGATCTCAAATTTTGTTCACCTCCATGAAGCACAGCAGGAGGCTCTATAGCCTGTCTCTCATTTACAGTGCAATTGTATTATATATTATGCAGCATAAACAGCATGACCTTTAAATAAAAAAGGTTTTAAAAGTCATGCCATATAGCAGTGTCTGAAGGGCAGTAACAGGTAGTGCCCTTCATTTAATATTCATTGGGCATTTCCTGTAAAAGTCAGTGGATGTTTAACAAGAAATTCACTGTTCAGATCCCGTGCAAATGTTGAATGCCCTCAAATGGAGAGCAATTTAGACACTGCCATGGCTATTTGGTGATGCTCATATGGTCTTGGGTTTCCAGTGTGTGACTGCCAGGATTCGCAGCCCCAAGTGCTTCATCTCTGTCTCACCTTCTGTGACCACACCACGAATAGGTGGAGGCAACAGGGCCATACAGTTCTGGCACACACTCCCTGGTCCTAGCCTCCAGGGAAAGGCACCAGGCGTTTGGCTGCAGGGTGGGAAGGGAGAACAGCAATTCCATCTCCATAAAAGGCCGCGGAGCTGTGCAAGCTGTGGCTGTTTCAGAAGATGCGGCTAGAGGGCAGTCGGTGTGCCTGGAATTTGCTTCATCCTGTTGCAGCACAACAGATGTACCAAAACAAAGCCACGGGAAAATGCCAGTAGCAGCATTTCTTAGCCTTCTGGGGGTTTTTAATGTGCTTTTCCTCACAGAGTACACTGCACCCAGACACCCCAGGGTTCTGAGCAGGTTGGGTGATACTGAACACGACCCCATGACCCCAGTGTGAAGAGACCTCAGCTGATGAAAGGAGAGGGGGAAGCAGCAGAGCTGAGGCACAACAGGAGGCAGCCTGGACAAGGGCTTCCTCCTCTGCTGCATCAACAGATGCTTTTGTGTGGAGTCTCCTCTCCATCCTAGCAGTATTTTCCACCCTGTTCACCTCAGCAACAGCCACCCAACCTTCCTGTGTCAGTGACAGATGCCCCAACCCTCGTTTTATCCTGGAGAGCTGCCTACACACCCCTCCTGTGCCCAGAAGATCTGGGTCCTGCAGTGACATGGCTGATGTCTTTGCAGTTTAAGTGTGTTGCTTCCTCCAGAGGCAAGCAGGCATTTATAGCATCTCCCACTGCAGAGCTTTTTGGTCATGAAAAATATATAAATGTTACAACCGCTTTTATTACCATCTTTATACTGCATTTAATGTTATCACTATGTGACTTACACACAAAATACATTTTTAAAGGAAAGCACATTTTTATTTAGAGAGAAGGGAGGATAGCAAATAACAGTTTATGCTCCTTATACATATGGTAAAATCCACCTAAATTAATGCCCTAAGCCAGCACAGTCCTTCTTTTGTCCCAATCAAAAATCACTGCTTTTATGTAAAAGAATGCAAACAAAAAACACTACTCAGAAATGGCTGACCCTGTTCCCAGGGCCTGCAGAGGGCAAACAGCTGCAGGTAAGCACAAATTCCTAGGCAAGAGCCTCTGTGTTGTTTTATTTTGTTGGGAGCAAGAGGAAAGAAGCCATCAGCCCCCTGTTATGGCATCAGTATCTGAAAGCTGAGCCGTGCAAGATGTGGGAGCATGCACGTCAGCACCACCCCAAGGCCAATCTCCAGGATTTTTTTGCACTCATGGCCTCTTTTGCATCTTGTCCTTACAGGGCATCTTGTGAAATCTTCTTGTCCTCAAACCTTACAAGCACTTGCTACCCGTGTTGCAGGTGACAATTGTCCTGGCAGTAATCACAGCACACATTGCACAAGCAAAGGCCTTGACTACCATTCTGCCAGCAGCTCACCTGTGCTGGCAGGTGGAGCAAGGGAGGCATGGAGGGCCTGAGATGTGATTTACTCTGTGCCTCACCTTGAATGCCCTCAAATCTCTGTAGTTAATCAAGTGTCTAGTGACACCATCAGCGGAACACAGGTAGTGAATGCCTGGGACACTTGTGATCAGCTCCACAGTCAAAGCTGGCCAAAAAATTCAGTAATCAAGGGGTGGCTGACTTCATGGTAAGACAGAGATAAAAGATGCAACAAAAGAGTCTTTCCATACAGTTCTGGGAGGTACATGATTACTGTCTTCCTTGGGAAAATTGGGGGTGTTTCTACTGGGTAAACAAGCTCTGTTAGAAAGTGAACAAAGAGAGGAATGTTATTTCTCTCAGAATGGTGAAGCTACATACAAGAATAAATGCTGATTTTAACAGCATGTTCCACGCTCTCTTATTTACAACATCCTAAGTTCAAAACTTCCATACATCCCATATTGCCTTTAGCCTCCAGCATAGGCAGAAGAGTCTGACCCTGACTAATGCAGATTCAGAGCACTGATAACATGGCTGTGTGGGCTGAAAGATAAGCACTGAAAAATCCATCCTCTCCTGTCCCCCAGATTTCTCTTCTTTTATCTCCCTTTGACCTTTCAGCAAATAAAGCTACCTCTATATTTTGGGACTCTGCTAAATCCTGCTGTCTTCTTAAGGACTGGGTATGCTCACGTGGTGTGCACCTTTGTTGGTGCCTGCACGAGGTGCTGCATCAACTTTCATGAGCCACAGGCTGACCATTCTGACAAGGCACACGTGGCTTTGTCCCTCTGCACTGGTGTGGGACCATGGGCAAAGAGTGCCAGTAGCAGCAGAAAGGAACCTGGCTGGTGTCCTACAGGGTGGGGAGGAAGATTTACACATGTGTGGAAATGGTGAAAAGTAAGTTAGTGTTGAAATCCTCCCAGCTTCAATGTGCTGCTAAACAGTAATATAAGGAGTGTATACACAGTAATATAAGTGTACACACAGGCTGGGAGAAACCGCAGAGAAACAGGCGTAACTGGTACAACAAATAGCTGTTTTGCAGTCCTCTGCATGCATTTGGACAACGTGACCTACCCAAAGAAACAGTTTCTAAATGAAGTAGAAGAGGCTTTAGGTGCTGACAAACTTTTAGGCTCTATTTCCAGCAAAGCATCTTTTTTTTTTTTTGGCTGATGCTTTTCCATTAAGTAGAAAAATGGAGACATTTGGATTCATTTTCCAAAGAACCTTTTGATTAGCATAACTTTCCTAGACCTTGCCTGAATATAAACT